TCAGAGTCATGGGAGTGATCTCGCCTGAATAGAACCCCTGAAAAAACAGTTTTATTTAAAATGTCAAATATTAAGTGAACCAGTACAGGCTGAAAATTGCAAAGATTGACATTATAAAATAATAATAAATAAAATAAAAATAGTTTTTATTTCTTAATCATTTTTACATTTTGTGTTCGAGTCTTCCCAGTAAGTAATCCGAGGATACTTGTGTTGGGAATGGCCCGCTTCTTCCCATATGCATACTCTATGATCATCTCTCATTAACATCTAAATCAATGCAGTAGTTCTCCAAATCCTTAGAACTACTTACATTTTGCCCCAGTTAAGTAACCCTCACATTTAACTACAATCCATATCTTTACTAATATTATAAATGTGAAAGTGTGTTTGTTTCTTTGTCCTTCTTTCACGTCGTAACGGACTTACGGATTATCGTGATTTTTTGTGTGGAGATAGTTAGAGGACTGGAGAGTGACATAGGCTACTTTTTACCGCGGGAGATTATCTTATTCCTACGGGAAAACAAGTTATAATATAACTCAAAAAAATATTTATGATTAGAATTATTTGAAAGTAAACTAAAAATTCAATACAATTAAATGAATACGTTTTTAGCATTTTTCGAAATTCATTGCATAAGGTCGTAAAACAGGGGATGAAAGTTAAATGGAACCTACTTTTTTAGAGCTTTTTTGTAGTTTTTTAGATTCTGCTAGTGAGCTATAAATTTCACAGAATGTTATAATTTTCAAACTTTCACCAAAAATCCTGCAATCTATGTTTTCCCAAACTATGAGTTATTCTCAATATTCAATTTATGTATTGATGCTGTTAATAACGTGGTTTCTGAACGAACTTTCTTAGTGAACTTTCATGAAAAATCAATAAAAATATTTTAGCGAATATCAATCACATCTTAAGCATATTTTAAATATTTTTTGTTATTATTATTATTATATTTGCAGCTTCCTTCTCAAGATAACTTGAAGGTAACTTAAACATTAGCGGTTGTGTTAAACCAGTAATAAGCTATACATACTGATTACGAGTTTCGCTCAAATCCCTTGTTGTTACAACGTGAAGGAGTACACGATTCGATTTTACCCCTCCCATACACAAATATCTCAAAGTACTGCATATTACCCATTTTCCTGCCAAGCGCTGTAAACTTAGTGAGGTAAGGAAGCAAGCTTGGAGCTAAATACCGCGCATAAATTGAACAAAATAGCACCAACACGTGTTTACGCTGAAATATCGCTTATGAAACTTTCAATGAATACGGATGTTCTTTATAATTCATTAAGTTTCTAAGAGTTTTTTTTAAGTACATTATATAAACAATACCTGTATATTTTTTAACCCCCGACGCAAAAAGGGGGTTGTTATAAGTTTGACGTCGATGTCTGTCTGTCCAGTTTTTTTTTCATTTGAAAGCCAGTTTCCTTGCGGTGGTTCTTAGCTATCTTTGGTTCATATCGGTCCAGCAGTGTAAGAGTATCAGCTCTTTTAAAAATGATGTAAGGCATTTTGTCGTGTGATTACTCGATTAAGCGCTTCTCGCGTGCCAGTGTAATCGTTAAATGACAATTAATTTGCGTAGGGTTTTTTTTTAAATTTTAATTATACTTAGAAATTGATTAAATTTTCTTTACAGCGAAATTTTTAAGATTCTCTTGTTTTTTTTTTTTTTTTTAATTTATTAAGAACACCAACAACATAACACACAAATACATTTTAAATTCATTCCTAATACATAAGTTCTAGTATGTTAGTCTCTTACAGGTGTCCATAGCACTGACCAACAAATTACATACATGCACTGCTAATATAAAAAGAAGATAAAGTGACTACAAAATAAGGGCAAAAACTTGAAAAACATTAAAATTTATAAATAGGGTTTAAGTTATCTTAACTAATTTTATGTATATATAAAAAAAAAACTATGATATATGTAAAAAATATTTAAATTACTTACTCCTAAAATGTAAACACAAAATGTCTTAAGAACTTTGCTAAAAATAATAGTGGTAGGGACAGATAATTAACTACATACAATAAAATAATGCCGCTTAACTTAGAATGATTTACAATTCTCCGCGGATTTTTTCAACCAAGGTATTCTTTAGTTTGAGCAAATTGTTATGAAATAGATCAACGTCACACCCGAAAGACAGAGTACTCAGTTCATTATATGCTTTAAGCATTCGAGGAAGAGGAGAGTTCGAGCAAGATACCGTCCTAGAAACTGGCATATCGAACGGACCTTTGTTTATTGCGCGCGACCCAGGTCGCGGAATCCTGAAATAAATATTCTCTAATATTAGTGGACAATCCAACATTCCATTTAGTATCTTAAATAATGTGCAAATATCAATTATACGTCTCCTATTAAATAAAGTGTCAATTTTAAAAGTCGTCAACCTATCCTGATAATCGCTTCTCTTACTTATATCGCTATTATACACAAGATACTTGGTAAAGGAACGCTGTATTCGTTCGATTCTTTCGGAATGATATGCTTGGTAGGGATTCCAAATGACGCTTGCATATTCCAATATGCTTCTTACTAAGGCATTAAAGATAACTATCCTAGTCTTTGGAGAACGCAAGTCTTTACATGTTCGCCTCAAAAAACCAAAAGATTTTAATGCTTTCTCTATCATATGATCATAATGTCTCGTAAAACTCAACTTGTTGTCAATAATAACTCCCAGGTCTCTGACAAATGGGGTTTCTCTAATACACACTCCGTTAATGTGGTACGAAGCATCAATTTTTTTTTTTCTTTTTGTGATTTTTATAAAGCAACATTTGGAAGCATTTATTATCATACCGTTACGAGTACACCATTCTTGCACACGATCTAGGTCTTCTTGGAGCATAACTATATCAACAGAACTTTTAATAGGCATGAAAATTTTCATATCGTCCGCGAATAAGAGACAGTTGCTATTTATAACACATTCTACGATATCATTAATAAATAAAATCGGTCCCAAGTGAGAGCCTTGAGGCATACCCGATACTGCTTTGTACCAACGTGACTCATATCCCTTGACCACTACATATTGAACTCTCCCCTTTAAATAAGAACTAAACCATGATAAGATATGCCCACTTATGCCATAAAAATATTGTAATTTAACGAGAAGAATTTTATGATTTACCCTGTCGAATGCATTACTAAAGTCCGTATACACAGAATGGACCTCTATCCCCTCATCAAGAGAACTATTCAAGCTGGTAACGTAATTTAACATGTTGCTGATTACAGATTTTTTACTTTGAAAACCATGTTGTCTATCTGAAACTAGATTCTTTGTGTGTTCTACCAAAATGGGACAGACTAAAGATTCAAATACTTTCCCAAAAATTGACAACATTGATATTGGTCTGTAATTAGCAACATTTGCAACATCTTCCTTCTTGTAAACTGGAACCACCCTCGCTTTTTTCCATTCGGTTGTAAAAGTTCCCGTTTCGAGAGATCGATTAAAAATCAATTTCAATGGTAGAGCAAGAACCTTCGCACACCTTTTTATAAATACACCTGGAATTCCATCTGGACCACAAGCTTTATATATATCCAGTTTTTTTAATTTATTTAATATAATTTTTTCATCAAAATTTATCCTGGATAGAGTGTCACAAAGCGGTGAAGGAGTTGTACATACACGAACTATACTATCGTTTGAAGTATTAAACGTAGACTCAAATTGTTCAGCAAATAAATTTGCAATATCAATGTTACTTGATGCTGATTCGCTATTACGATAGACTAGACTAGGTATAGAAGTATTCTGTTTCTTTTCTTTAAGAAACCTCCAGAAAGCCCTAGAATTACGCTGAATGTTCTCCTCAGTAAGAACACAGTGCTCGCGATAACAATCATTAAGTTCAACTCTACATCGCGTACGAAGTATTTCAAACTCATATTTATCACGGGGGTTTTTATAGGTACGATATCTTGCACGAATTTTATTTTTTTCATCTAAGAGCTTGCGAGTGCGACGCTTAAACCATGCGGGGAGGGAAGAAGGCCTACATTGATACTTGGGTACATAGGAATCAAATATACTAGACAATTTGTCGTAAAATATACATATCATTTCATCTACCTCTTTCATGTTACCCAATAACTTACACCAGTCAGTGGCTTCCATTGAAGCAATAATTTTTGAGTAACCTGCTTTAAAAAAGTTGTAGTCCGAGCGAGGTTTATTTTGCTCACTCTCAGTTTTTAAATGTAAATTCATATTAATGCTTATTTCTAAAGGGGGATGTAATTTGTCAAGTTTACTTATAAACTCAAGAGGTTCAGTTACTGAAATATTATGTATAGTACTTAAAACTAAATCTCTAATCTTACCATCAACTCCTTTCACTGTGTTAAATTGATACAACTCATTAAAAGATAAGAAATCAGTTAAAGCATAACCTAAGTTGCAGTTATAATTTCCAGGATATGCATATGAGGCGTCTTCTTTATTTTCCCAGGTAATAAAGCTGAGATTGAAATCACCCACTATCAATACTTCATCGACACTTGGCACAATAGTATTAATATTATCCAAAGTTTCAGTAAGATCATTCATTTTTACAGGAGGAGGCATATATACTACGCAAATTCCTATACGTTTGATTTTCCTATTTATATTTAATTCTACAATGATCCATAAGTCTTCAAATTCGCTTTCCTAACTTTGCATACGGAAAGATGTAAAATTCTTATTTACAGCTAACAGGATGCCTTCACCGTCAAGTTTGTGAATACAATCGCGATCACGTCGATAAACTATATATCTGGAATCTATAAACTCAGAAGTTCTTATATCAGATTTTAGCCAAGTTTCTGTGAATGCAATTACACAATAATCATTCTGCAGTATGTTCATATAAATATCGGCAGTCTTAGTTCTCATTCCACGAATATTCTGATAATACAGATTGAATTTAACGTAATACAACCACTATAAAACGTCCATATATAGTATTTACTTAAGTTTATCTAAATCGGTCATGTTATTAATCACTTTAGCTGATGATTTCTCATCCTTTCTAACATAGATCTTACCGTTGCGGACCCATACAAAATTATATGAAATTTCCTTAGCTTTTTTTCTGGTTGCGGCATGTAGCATTTTATTTGGAGGTGACAGATGTTCCGACAAATAGATGGGTGCTCTATCGCCACCAATTCCAATTGCCTGGGTTGAGAGTTTGTCCAATCGATTTTCTCTGTTGTACTTATAATATGCCGTTAAAAAAGCATCGCGATTTCTAGGACTTCGGAATTTAACGATAGCCGCTCGGGGGCGCTTATTATTATTGTCTTTCTTGGCAACTCGAAAACAAGACATAACATCTGTATCATTGATGGTGTGAGAAACAGTTTTACCAATCTGTAAAACAGTTTGGACCAAATTTTCCGATTTAAACTCAGGCAAGCCATTTATTTCGACATTACACTCGCGTGAGTGCTGTTCTAAGCTAGACAATCGAAATCCAAGATCCTTCACAGTTTCTTCAAGAACTCTATTTTGTGTCAACAGTTCAACGACTTCCTTATCCCGTGAATCCAGCCGGCTCTTCAGTTCGTCGTACTTATTTGAAAAAAACTCAACAGTTGAAGTCAAATCACTTACTTTATTAATTAGATCAGTAAATTTAGCTTCAAGAACGTTATGAACAGCGTGAATTGCCTCAGTGACAGATTTATTTATTTCGTTTTTGATCGATGCTAAAGTTATTTCATCCAATTTTGTTGTATTCAAACACTTCGAACATGTAGCTTGCGGACTAGCATTTACTGTACTTGTTTCCGTGCAACTGCTGGGCGAAGTTTGCGATAGGCCTCGAACAAGTACATTTGCACTATTACCACCTTTTTTACGTTGATTGACACAAATAGGACATCTCCAAGTTGATTTGAATTGAGTTGTCAGAGAGGATAATTGACTCTCATTATGACCAGCACATTGAAGGTGGAAATAATTTTTGCACTCGACGCATGCAAGAGATGACTTTTTTAATACTTTATTTGCACAAGTAGGGCACTTGATAACTGTTGAAGACATGATTTTAATATTTTGTCCTATATTCTTAAAAACATTAAATTGGAAAAAATCTTTTTACCGTAGGCTGGGATCGAACTCGGCTTCGTCGCGTTCGTAATCTTAGGAGATAGGCACAAGGCCAAGCCGTTCGTTACGTTGCAGTATAAAATTGTAACTTGCTTTCTTAGTCTTCACAGAGTACTTCTTGGTCCATACTGTCTAAGTCTTGTGCCTTAAACAAACTTCCAGCTACCCACCTTATTTAATATTTTTACTATCAAAAATCCAATTTCTGGTTCACATTAAAACAAACTGTTTATTCACATCAAACTCCTTCATTCAACTTTAAATACATACAATAATTAACATTATACGCATTTATCTTAATAAGAGTAATATTATGAGGTTAATTAATTTAACAAACGAGCAGTGCGACTGTAATGTACCGTGCACGACAAAGTCGCGCGCGCAACTGGACAAAGTTTTCATGTAATATTGTCCGCTATTTTTATACAATAGAAATAACCTACAAATGTCCTTTAGCATAATCTATACTTATTATAAAAATAAGTCCCCCGGCCGCGTCTTTCTGTCCTCCTGTCTGTCTGTACGCGATAAACTCGAAAACTACTGAACGGATTTTTATACGGTTTTCAACAATAGAAAGAGTAATTCTTGAGGAAGGTTTAGGTATATAATTTATTATGCTTTTATGTAAATTAGCTGAAATACGGCGACAAATGTTGAAGAGGTCGCAAAAAATCTCGCCAAATGGGAACTTTCCACGCGAACGCCGCGTAAACTAGCAAAGATACAGTTAAGTAATGTACTAGAGAATTCAAAATCTATAAAAATGCTACAAAAAAGTCCGCGATAGCATATCTCTATCTCTTACGGTTGACTTACAATAACCACTTTTATGTTAACATTTTTAATTAAAAACATTACGTTATTTTCAAAGTTATTTTCTTTAGTTCGGTATTAATCCTTATCCAAATGAATATTTTAGTTAGCTTAGTCATTTAATGCAGATTAAAATTGCTCTTTACACTAAATCAATCAGATGAATAGTTTTTGAGATATCGTTGTTAGAAGTAATTAGTAGCGAAACATTTTTAATGCTTGGCGAGCATTGAGATGCCTACGGCGAGTCCATCCCCTCTGCCCCGCATCGCTCGACCGCCTGCTCAAGCTATATAAACCGGGCGATGTAGCGCGCGATCCTAGGATACTTTTTACCGCGGGAAAATATCTTATTTCTGAGGAAAAATACAAAAACTGCAATGTAAGAGTATACTAATATGTAACACCTAAGAATTTAGTTTTTGGTCATCTGAACGCGGGCGGAGCCGCGGGCAATGCTAGTATATCTATAATAATATGTACTAATATATACAACTGAAGCTATGTCATTATAGAAAAATAATTAGTCATTCCCGTACACATGTTTTTAGATTTCTATTCTACAACAATTGTAGAATGACATCTTGTCTAGTCTTGTTTGCGAAACATCCGCAAAGCTCGTGGACATACACCCAGACTGATCAATACTAGATTCAATTCAATTTTCTTGTTAATGTCTTTTAAGCGTGCCACTTGATCACAAATTGCTTTGCCAATGCTACTTCACCACACCAACTACCTCATTGGTTTGACTTTTTAATATTTTAATAACGTTTTTACTAATATATTGTCGCTTTCTGTTACGTAGCAACGAATTATTGTATCGTCTTGATCTTTTACATGGAAATAATTTATGGATGCGAGAATAATATAAGCTACGTATATTTTATTCAGAACGTCAAGTATTTTCCATAAAATATTAATTTGTTGATATATATAGTACATATAAATGTTATATACATAATTTACTTATAGCAAAAACAGCTATATATATAATAAAAATCAAACTGTCTAACCAGTAAGCTCTTTAGAAATAGAGTGCACAGCCACACAAATCTACTTTCCATAACTGCATTTCATATTACTACGAACTGGGCGTGGTCTCGATGTGACGTCATGCAACTGAATAACGACGTCACAATTAGAATTGTCCCAAATATCTCATCTCAGATGCTTTCAGGTCGCTCTATTTACTAGTTAATGTTTAGACTAGTTATTATTTATTCGACGACAGGTTTGGCTCAGTTTGTAGTGATCCTAGTGCCAGCGGTCACGGATTCGAGTCCCGCTGGGGGCATTTACATATTTGTATGATGAGCACGAATGTTTGCAACTCAGTCATGGGTGTTTATATTTATAATATGTATCTAGGTATATAAATTAATATAAGTGTATCAACTGTCTGGTATCATAACGCAAGCTTCGTAGCTTACCATGGAATTAGATGATGCTGTGTTAATGTCCCAACATATTTATCTATAGACGTTATAGGGTTTTAGTACATATTTTGAACTACTTTCGCTGGCGAGTCCGCTCGTGTTATATGTACGAATAAATATTGTATGTCTGTCATTTAGAATTAAAAGTAATTTCTATTATATAAAAAGAAATAGCTTTCTTTATTCCTTTATAAAATATGTTAAATGAGAAAAACGAACTTATGACCTATTTAGCAAAGAAGATCAAGTAGCATATAATAAGCATCAAAAACACAAAAAAAATTATAAAGAATAGTAAGAATTTACTAGAATGATACCGAATACAAAATATATTACCATTTAAATAAATAGTACCTTATCTCTAAAATATAATTTCAATTATAGCAAGCTTATTTTGTTTTTAATTATTCTAAGTATTTGGTAAAAGCGAATGGCAGACAAAAGCTTGTAATTCTAATTGGCAAAACTTAATGAGAAAATCATAAAAACTTCTTAAACAATAAAAAAAACAATATATTATTATATATTATTATTTAAAAACTAATATATTATTATAATGAGAGTTTTTTTTAACCACTCACCAACTTTCAGTGAAAGTATGTAAAACAAGATAAGTTTTAAACTTGTCTATTATCAATTATATTTTAGACTAGCGACTCATACTCGCTCCGCTCAGGTTCGTCCCTAACGTACGTTAGTATCGATTTCTCATAGATCAGATATTTTCCTGCAGTAACAAGTACCTTATATGTTGACCTAGATAACCAGTTATCATAATACCAAATTTCATCAAAATCTGTCCAGTTGTTTATTGAGAGATTTCCAAAAAAAAATTTATGTACAGATTCGACTCAGATTTTTTTTAAATGTATAGAACAGTCCTATTGACATGTCTTAAGGAAAAATATAATGAATAGATATATTTTTTTGTTGAACTGACGACCTCCATCACAATAGTTCCAACCAGATATCTCCAAAAAACATCTCCAGAGATTGCCATAAAAGATTCTTTCAGTTATTTTATTACAATAGGTAATAAAACTTCAAAGATTGTCCTGATAGCCCTTAGAAACGTAACAAGGGACCTTCCGCACGGCTGGCTCCAGCACAACTCCTTGACAGGTGCCATTTTCACACACTAACCTGTTCGAGTGTGAAGCAAGAGAACGACCGACATTTACTGGTGCGGAATCGAACCTGTATTTATCTAATTTTAGACTTTGATTATTTATAGTCTCAATTTGTAGTTCGTACTAATTTGTCAACTGTTATATGGCAGTTAATAAGATTATTATGCAGGCAATATTTTTAATATTGTAATTAGTTCTGAAAATTGAGATCAAGCCTGCAGGAATTTTAACCCTTTTTTTACATAATAAAATTTTGTTTTTTACTATGCCGAGAGCTAATAATTCAATTTTCTTGTAAATGAATTCAAATCGTACAACTTAATTGCAATAGAAAACAACAAAATATAAGCAAATGACATGCATGAACGATATGTCAGTCAGAATACGATATTTTTATATCGATAAAAAAAACTTCTCTATTCTTTCTGCCATATTCATTTATAGCTAATTACTATATTTTATACTAAGGTTTTTCAAGGAAAAACTTGTCATTTGACGAACGCAATATTTGAAACACTTTCTTGGCGGAAGTGAGAATTCAGTAAGAACTTTTGTAGAGTGTTCGCTACTTTGTTTGTCACTCGCTTTATTTATATAAAACACCAGTTACTTCTTAACTCTGTGCTTTTTCTGTAATTAATTACAATACTGTCCACACTTTGTAATATTTAATAATATAATTTACATCGTTATAACTTAAGCTTCTTATTTTACTGACTCTCCTCGAAAATATCATACTAGGGATAATCATTAGCAAAAAAATACTGGTTAAATGTATACTTTTTGGGTGTCGCTTAGTCTCTATGCCTGAAGAAATAAAAATATAGGTCTTTATTCCTTCACTTAGAATACACTTTCTTAAAATACATCACGTAATAATATAAAACATGAATAATTTAGCTGAAATATTTTCTTCTAAGATTTTGTGACTAGCAATGTTAGATAAACAGTTTACAGTTTATTTTACATCAGATGCTTACTGACGCGTGCAAGACACAAGTTGTTAAGGCTGCGGAAAATTCTTTATTTTCCTCACATCCGGTCATGTGAAAGGGTTTGAAAAAATAATTGTTGAGTGTCTTCAAAGATCAGCGATTTCATAGCAAATTTGCATATGTTCATCTTTACAGGGTATTTTATATCTTTTTGTAAAAAATATACACTGACCAAACAAACAACATGACCTACAAGATAATATTTTATGACCTAGATGACCTTCGTCCAGAGTATAGTATATATTATAGATGAATCAAAGGTGTATATGTGTATTAAATTTTACCCAACTTTCTTCAGCCGTTTCCGCGTAATGGAGTAACAAAGGACACATACGCACAAACTTTCACACAACCACACACAAATATTTGATTTAGACTTTTTTTATTTCTTTATCGTGGTCCAAAATACGCTTACATCAGCTAAAAATATTTCACGCGTTTAGACATAAGTATCAATCAGACAGGACACAGGGTTAATATAACTGATACAAAATATCTAAGGAAAAGAATTGAATGCTGTTCATAGGTTTTACAGATATCGAGGACATGATCTC